AAAAAAATAAATAAATAAATAAATAAATAAATAAATAAATAAATAAATAAAATAAAATAAAATAAAAAATAAAAAAAACATTAGGGACAAACAATGATAGAGCACACTTATCATAGACTAAAACTTGAACTTAGAAAACAAAAGGGGGAAAAATAGGCTTTTTCTTCTCCCTCTAGACTTCTCAAATAAGCTCTACTTCAATTTTTCACATGCAGTGATCAGGGAGTGACTCCTCTAAAGTGTGATTATGGATAACTCATTCCTTCTAACTCCCCACTAGTGTACTGGAAAACACCTGAAGAGGGCATATGGAAAGGACCTGATCCCTTAATACCATGAGGTACAGAATTTGTTTGTGTTTTTCCAGAAACCACAGCTGCACCTTTCTAGGTTCCTGGCAGGTATATGAAGCAATGGCATGGAGAAAGATCAGCTGATGTGACTCTGGGACCTATGGAGTGTGGAGGACCAAGGGCTCATCTGAAAAGACATCAATGTGGTCCTCTACAGAGTACTCAATGGAAGTTGGAAACTGCCCTACAAAAACTAACTCTTTGAAAAGCAAGTTAGATTTATACTAATGATAATGGTACCAAAATGAGTCGGGAGGGGTTGTAATAGAACCAGCTGGGTTCAGGCTTGTGCATTTGTTCCCTATGTGTTTGTGGTGGGAGATGATATTCAAATCTGACATAATATCACTACTCAATTATATCATATTGCATGTGTAAATTGTTACCTACATCATTGTGTTAATCAGGACTACAAAAAATCAATTATGATCATGTATCAACCTATTGCAATTTGAACAACTGTAAATCTTACTGTATAATGGAAAAAACCCTACCTTAAAGATTCTACATTCTGTTTTTCAAAAAATACTACAATGAAGAAAGCAAGTCATAGATTTAATCATTGGCATTACTTTTAGTATTATTGGAAATAACACCTGTGGCTACATCTAAAATGGCAAAACTGACTTTTGTTCTAGGTGACTTTTGCTTTAACATTTTTTTCCCAGCCATTTCCCTCTGCATCCAGTCAGTCATGAAGACTATGCCTGTAGCTTCAGTGGGTACATTGTTTCTACAATAGTGGTAAACTTTCAACTAGCCCAGTAGAACATCCAGGTAGCACATCCTCCCAGCTATACCTGCATCTCCAAGGAGCCCATTGTCTCTGCAATTCTGAGAAACTTGTTTTTACTAACCAAAACTTTTGGTTAACTGAAAACCTCTTTGTTAACTGACCTGCCCCTGGACTGGTGTAACTACGGTGATCTGATGTAACTATAGTTATTGGCTTTGCCAGTGGCATCATGTAATTATGGTTTTAGGCTTTATAAACCCCACCTTATGTCCCCTTGGGTCAAGATGTTTTGGGGGCATTATCCCCCTCTCTGACTGCCAGTCTTTTTGCTAGCTAATAAAGAACCGTGGTCACCGGCTGTGGCTGCTCTCCTCCAGCTATGGTCACTCTCCTGCTCTCTCAGTTCCTCTGATCAGTCATCTGGTCCAGACCCCAGGGCTGGTGAGGAGTCTGCGCCAGCATCGCCACATTCAGACGCAGGAGACCAGGTTCAGTGACACAGATCTGCTTTATTGCAGGAAAGTACGGGCTTGTATGGGGTAATAGTCAAATCACAACACAGCATATGGGATCCCTTATTAGCATGGCAGACTAGTATCCTATTACAATCTAGCAGGCCAGATGCCCTATTAGCATGATAAGTTTCAGTTTCTCTAAGTTTCAGATTCCTGGAAACCATGTGATATACATAGTTTTCTCTCTGATAAGAAACAGGAAGCACTGCATTCCAGCATGATAAGTATGTAAGGCAAAAGGCAAAATCAGTCACAAGGTTTTCCACAACAAAGAACTCCTAATTTACCATTACTATGTGGCATTCCTCTGTGCCTCATGCTCCATATTACACATCAACCATGGCCCTTTCCAGGAAATTCAGATTCATACTTTTGTAGACAATCTTATATAAAATTCTTCTCAAATATTGCGTAATCAACATGCTACAGATTTGGACTTTCAAGATGAACTAGAGAGTCTAAAAGATGCAATGTAGCTAGGCATGGTGGCATATGTCTTTAGTCCCAGCACATGGGAAGCAGAGGCAAGTAAATCTCTGGGAGTTCGAGGCCAGCCTGCTCTCTATAGCGAATCCAGGCCAGCTGGGGCTACAGGAAGACCCTGTCTCAAAAATGTTGGGGACCTCTGTTATGCAAAATAGAAGTCCCTTCACGACCGGACAGCTCATGCAGCTCGGGATCATGTGCTGAGGGCTCCTTTCATAGCAGGGTGCCTTCCTGGCATCTTTCCTGACTCTCCTTTTGAAGTGCCCGCCACAAATGCTCTAGCATAAACATGGCCTTTGACTCTGAAAGATACCATGCTTTCTGTGTGATTTTTCCAGGCAGACAGCAGTCTGGCAGAAACCCACTTCCATATGTAAATAGAATGCCTCACAAAGCATCTAACAGCCAAAGCTTTTACCACTACCCCCATGGTATAAGTATCCTAGTTTTCTCTTAATAGAGAGAGAGCTGGGTCACAGAGCTGCTGAATTACTGAGAGCAGAGACACTTAATAAAGCTGTAACACAGACTAAGCCGAGTCTTGTCCTGTGCCTTACTATCGGCGACCTAGCCTCTCCGGGGGGCGCACTCCCCCGTGACCAACTTACGGACATCCTAGCTTTCGCTGTCCTCGTACTCTTCCCGTGGGGTTCAATGGCCAGTGGACCTCGCATCCTGAGGAAAGTACACAGGTGAAATAGGGACAGGATTCGGCTGGACAACGCTCCAGTAGCAGAGAGAATGTCAGCACCGGAGCCGCGGGGAGACGCCTGTGGCCAGAGCCATGTGCGACTTGCCAGGTGTGGCAGGGACCCCGAGATACCCGTGCACCCCACGCCTGAGGCCCATAGAGACACAGAGAAGCCTGCGGGGCCAGACCCGCCTTCCTCCAGGCGCACGGCGGAGAATCCTGTGGACCTGCCGTGCCATCCCGAGAGTGCGCGCAGGGACCCCGGGTGCCCAGCGCACGCTCCCTATACAAAAAGACAAAAAAAAAAAAAGATGCAATGTTTTGGAGGGGTAAGAAATTAGAAAATAACCATACCCAATTGGATTATTGTCATTATGTTGTTACCACATACTGCATTATCCCCCTGAAGTATAACAATAGTGATTCTGATCAAAATAAAGTAAAGGCCCATGTTTTGGGAACATGGGAATAACATAATGCAACTTTGGATATTCTTGCTCCACAAAAGGATATAAAACAGCTAAGATCTATGCAACTAGATATCTCTTATGACCAAATCATTGGAAATATAATGGCTGTGTTTTAAACTTTTAGTCCCAATACATGGTTCAAAAATCAAAACGTTGCTTTTCTTGCTTTTCTCATTGTGACAGTAACTGGCTGAGTTCTTTGTTTTCTGTGAAGTTTGCAGAATTGGACTAACCTATACAAATGAAAATCTGCAATCAAAACTGATGCTAGTTATTCTCATGAAAAACATTTATATAAAAAGGAAGAGGAAATGTTGGAGAACACTGCTTTACCTGAATGCTGCTGAGAGCATGTTTAACTACGTGTGATGATGCATCTGGTCAAGTATGTCTACCTGGCAAAAGCTGTATAGGCATGTGTGTAGAGGCAGATAAAAGAATGCAGTGTTCCTTACCTTAGACTAGATAAGAAAAAAGCATTCTAACCACAGATCATAAGTTCTGTTGTGTTTAGCTAGTTTCCACTTGAGCAAATAAGTTCTTTGTTTTTAAATAGCATACCAAGAGCTGGTGGTGCACACCTTTAATCCCAGCATTCAGGAAGGAGAGGTAGGTGGATATCTGTGAGATCAAGGCCAGCCTGGTCTACACAGCAAGTTCCAGTTGGGGCTACAGGGAGACCCTGTCTCAAAACAACAGCAACAACAATAAAATAATAATAATAATAATAATAATAATAATAATAATAATAAAACAGCATGCCAAGAAGTCTTGAGAAAGCTTTCACAAGACTGTCTGCACTGAGAAATAGTCTTTGTTCATTCTATTTATGCAAGCTAGGGCAGTAGATACACAGTGGAATAGGAACTTGGAAGCTCTGTTTCCTCACCTCAACAGAGTATTTCCAGGTTCCCCACTCTTGAAATTCTAATGAAGTGCTGTGTCTTTCCTTCATGCTGTGCAGTCCCTCTTTGAGGATTCTCAGAATCCCTGCTACTCTTGACACAGCATTTTTTGGCAGTTATTTACTTCATGGCTCAAATAAACATATACAAACGTTCATGCTTTCCTGGCTTTTAGTGTTGGGAAACCCTGCTGTTAGGGTTGTAGTTCTTTATGTCCAGATAGCCCTAAGGGGCTCGGTGCCAAATGGAAGGACTCCCCTTTTCAGCAGGGGGCCTCCTGCTCTCTTCCTGGCTTACCTGGAAAGTGCCACCAAGCACGGATGCCTGACCTTATTTGGAACATGACCTTTGGCATAGTTACCTGGAGTAAAAACTATCCCCAAGTTTTTTCTATATGATAATCAGGCATTGCCTGGTAGTCGGATGATAGGAGCCCACTGCCACATGTAAATAAAGCATACTATGAGCACCTATCAGCTAAGGCTTTGGCTACTGCCTCCACACTATAATTTCTCTAGTTCTCCCACTGAATAAATGGAGCTGTTTCACTGAGTCTGGAGCTGTACCACTGCGTCTAGAGCTGTTTCTCCCTGGAAGGGCTTTCTTCCGTCAGTGCTCACTGGCCGTCCTGACTCCGTTCGCCACTTCTGCTCCCCCTACCCTTGTGGACCAGTGGCCAACAACCCACGAAGAGAGGGAGAGACCCCCGCAATTTAGGGCTTCTGGAAAACCTGGTATAATTGTAATGAATTTACCTTTGCACATTGGCACCCCTTTCTGACAGATTTCAAGTTTCTATGTTTTGTATTCTTGACGTTTTCACTAAAATGTGACATAGAGAGGTTCTTTTCTGGCCTTGTCTATTTGGAATTTTAAATGCCTACTTTATTTTTATACCCATGTCTTTTCCTAGATTTTGGTAATTTCCTGCTATAATTTTATTTAATAGGTTTTCTATGCCCTTGGTTTGTATCTCAACTCCTTCTTCTCCCCTTCATGTGTTTAAAAATATTTTATTTTTATTTTTTAATTATGTGTATATGTGTATATCTGTCTGTGGGTTTGTGCACATGAGTGCAGTGCCTGTGGAAGTTGGAAGATGATGTCAGATTTCCTGTAGTTAGAGTTGTGAGACCAACACTCAATATGGGTGCTTGGAACTGAACTTGCTCTTACAAGAGCAGTATGCACTCTTAACCATGAAGTAATTTCTCCAGCCTTCCCCCTCCATGTATTCTTTTTTTTAAGATGTATTTTTGTTTTTATCTATATGTGTCTGTATGAGTGTGTGTCATGTGCCTAAGAGGACAGAAGAGGGCACTAGATCCCCAGGAGTCAGCTGTCCAATATGGGTTTTGGGAACTGAACTTAGTCTTTGGAAGAGCAGCAAACCCTCTTAGCAGCTGAGCCATCTCTCCTGCCCACATATTCTTTTGTGGGGGGTGGGGTGCTGAGACAGGGCCTCCTTGTAGCCCCAGCTGGCCTGGAACTTGCTCTGTAGACCAGGTTGGCCTCAATCTTATGGAGATCTGCCTACCCTGTGTCCCAAGTGCTAGGATAATTGCCACCATGTCCAACTGCCCATGTGCTCTTAAGTTTGACCTGTTCATTGTTTCCCAGAGTTCTCTAAAGTTGGGGTCACAGTTGCATTTCTTTGTATGGTTGTCTGACTATAATTCCTTCACCTTGTCTTCAATCCCTGATATTCCTTCTTCTGAGTAATATAGTATAACAATGGTGTTTTTCATTGTTTTTTGTTTTTGTTTCTTGTTGGGGAGCTTTGCTTTGGTAGGGGCATGTGATGCTATAAAGTTAAATTCACTGCTGGGAGGTGCATGTGGCATCCAATTCCCTCCTCCCACTGCCCTTACGACAACCTGAGGCAAAAATTCTCCAAAACCTCTGTTTGGAGGATCTTAATGAGTTTATTGGACTTGCTTACTGAGCATGGGGTGCTGGTTTACTTACAGAAGAGTGGGCACCCCCTCCATTCACGGCTGTGATCAAAAGTCCACACCCAACATAAGTCCGGTGGCTTCCCAACAGCCACACAAAATGGCAAGAGAGCAGCCTCGTGGTTTTCCTGGCTTATATACCCTTAGTCCCTCCCCTTCAAGCACCTAAGGTCAACCAATTAGCTGGAGTAGGTAAGGGGCTTGACTCCTTCCGCAGAGAGTGGGCAGCACCATGGCTTGTCATCATAGGGTCAGAGGAACATCTGGGTCACAGATGCCATGGAGCACATGTAGAAGTCAGAGGACAGTTTTCAAGAGCTATTTCTCTGCTTCCAC